GACAACTGGAAAATGGTCAGGAGCTCCTCCAATCATGTTAATGTGCTCCTGGACAAAAGCAGGACATGGTTCAATGTCAATAAATATCACATGGCATCATTCCTCACCATAAAATAACTGCCATGTATTTGCTAATAGGAAGGTATAAAATTAATATTGTTGTTGTTATAATTGTTGCAGTTATTATTATTTTAGAACTATTAATAATAATAACGATAATAATATCACTATCATTATTATCGTTGCTGTTCTTATTGTTATTATTGCGCAGGTTGCACATCTTAGCAAACAAAGGACACAGACGGATACAAAATGAAACACATTGTTACCAAAGCAGTAGGCTGACACCACAGCTGGTGCACGCTTCTATGCTTCTGCAGAGTGCATGGAGGTGGGGGCACTAGCGGGACAGGAAGTGGGTGTTTCAGCAGCAGGCTGTGACCCCACACTGGAGGCGCACGGAGATGAGCACGGCGGTGTGATGGAAAGGATGTGGTCACACAGTGCACCCAGAGCTGTGTGGAGGGGGTGTGCATCTGCAGGCCTGCTCAGTGAACATGCACTACATACGCACCTGCAGCAGGAGAGCTGCTGTCATCTAAGGCCAACTGTTTTCAAACTGGGGCACGTCCCATTTTTACACTTACAATGAATCCAGTGCAATATAACATTCTATAAAATGCAGAGTAAACCAGGGGGATCTTAACTCACAGAATTAAGATTTGTTGAAAGATTAAACCATTACGAATAATCTGTATTGGTATTTAAAATGATCTTCAGAATCATATTATTTTTCCTGAACCAAATACATTATGTGGGGTTACTGACAAAGGAATTACGTATACTGAGTATGCTTTAAACAACAGTTTTCATTAATAAAAAGGTTTTAATTTTCATAACTGAATGAACAATGTATTGTCCAATAAGCAAATTTATTGGCAAACAATATATGCAAAGATAATACAGTATACAGCGCCCCCTGCTACTCAAAAATGACATTTTATCATGACTTTAGTTCCTATATCCGGTAAAATGTAAAACACATACGCATGTAATATCGAAGAATAATTTATATAACATTTATTTAGAGGGCTCCGCCTCATAGTTTAACGCTTTATTCGGCAGTGACAGAAGCATGCAGCAGATCTAGTGGTGTCTAAAGTATCTGGTTCTCCCAAATCTGTCAAAAGTAAATATTATACCTGCCAAATCAGTTTCTGAATCTGGGAAGGATTTTGTGTAAGGTACAGTACATCCTGGGTAAAATGTCAGTTGATGAAATGGCAATAACACATTCTCTCAGGACAACTGATCATCAATAGATCAGCCGTATGTCTTTGGACGGTGGGAGGAAACCCCAAGACGACACTCACACAAACATGCAGGCAAACTCCAATAATTAAACAAGCAAACAAAAATCAGACATAAGATGAAGAAATCCAATGAATATAAAAGGCTACCTTCTCTTTAACTGCTCAGTCAATACACACAGTTATGACACAGTCACTGATGTTCCATCAGTGGGGGGGGGGGGGGTTTGGGGGGTACAGTGACAGCCAGTGTGGCTCTGTGCTGAACATGCGTCTGACTGATGATTGTTGTATAAAGAAACTATAGTGCCATTATCCTAGAAGTAGATTCCTTGTTTTAAAACCTCTTTAGTTAGGCATGTGGTGGAGGATTGAAAATTAAAAACTGTGTTAAAAACCTGATTTATAAGTGGTTGAATGCAGTATATGTAAGTGTAATGTTCAGAGAATCATTTGGCTAGTAGTAATTAATAGTATTGCCATTTTTTCTGACATCTCTCACGTTTTTCAATAAATTATCTACTGCATAGCACCAAGATCTTGGTGCAATGTCAGAATCTCAGAATCTTTTATTTGCCAAGTACAAGGAATATCTTGTGAAAACTATAAGAAATTATTAGTTGTCTCCTGAGGCATATTTATTGTCCTGGTGTACAGTAGTGCATATTACAGTATTACGGTGCTGCCACTAGGGGTGCTACCTCTCATTTACGATAAACTGGGACACTGACATTTTGCGCCATATTTGCAAACATACTATGTTAATATCTGTAGGACTCCCTATTGCCTCCTTACCTACAGTATATCTGTCCTGGTGCAGATGCAGTAGCTCTCACTCTGATCTCCTTTGTCTGTCGCTTTCTACGTTAAATACAGATTTTTTGCTTTAACAAGCCAATATATATATTGTCTAATTATAACCTATTATAAAACCTAGTACTAATATGTCCAAAGGTACACACCCTTTAGCAATAAAAACATTATTAGACGTATTATAATAAATTATAAATGACTTTTCAACTTAATGCATTTAGACAACCTAACACTGACGTTTCTCGTCTCTTTTGGCCCTGAATGAATGCTTTGAAAGCTAAGCATGATCATTTAACGTGTAATCTAACTTGAAGATCTGCTTTGACCAAAAGCTGCAATGGGTAGATTTCTGTATTTTCCCAATACAGAACTCCGGTGCTTCTTTGCTTTTGTATTATTTTCCAGCTCTGTTTTTTTTTTTCTTTCCATATCTAACTGAAATTTTGGCTGGACACAACACAGAAGTGGTGGACAACGGGGGGCATTTCACAAAACAGGATCTCTTTCATTAGCCAGATAACTTAAACTAAATGTAAGGACGGTCCAATAAGACGGTCCCTTACCTCCTCATATTGGACAGTTTTCACGTTCGGCTTAAGTTATCCATCTAACTGGGAAATTCTGCTTGGTGGCAAACCACCCCCACGTCTCCGTTGTTGGGCTTTATGCCTTCAAAAAGGTTTTCTTTGTGCCCACTCTGAGTTTCACGTTGTAAATCGTTCTTTCTTTGACAATCAGTGGCTCACCCGATATTGTTTAGTCATCCTCCTCGCCCGTCACTCGCCGCAAAAACGACAGAATAAATCAGGGGTAGCCAATCTTACCTGCAAAGGGCCGGTGTGTATGCAGGTTTTTGGGATAACCTGCAGGTCAGCTGTTCAAACCCAGGTGTGAGGACTCTTCAGCCAATCAGTCCTCTAATTAGGGAGTTGCAGCGAAAACCTGCCTGCACACCGGCCCTTTGCGGATAAGATTGGCTACCCCTGGAATAAATGAAGATTTAAAAAAATAAAATTAACGTTACCTCTACCTAGAAATATAAGTCTCTGCGGTGTCGCGGACTTGGATGGGCGCGGCCGACCAACGGTTGCTAGGCAATTAGATAAGCTTCGTATTTCTGCTACCAATCAAATAAAAGTATCGACATGGCCAATCGCCGTACGTCTTACAGAAGCAGGATCGGAAGAAAACCAGGAACAAAAAAAGAATAGCGGTAGAAGCAAAGCGAGGCTTCGTTTGCGAAATGTTAAGTTATACTGTACGTGCGTTTTCACAAAAACCCGATACAATTCATGTCTTGGGAAAGAATATTAATTGTCCGGGACAGTTGCTCAAAAAAAGAGTACAATCCAGGGGAAACCGGGACGGGTGGCAACCCTGACTACTGCCGCATAGTAGCAGTGGATTAATTGATATATAAAATCACTGTAAATTTAGTTTATTCGCAGTCGTGTTGCTTTGGCTCAGCTCTCAGCTGTGCCTTGCTGTTGGGGGTGTAGTTCTTGTACAGCAGCCTGTCTGATTCATGTTACTGTGGACTCCAGGAACAATACCACACAGCGGGGGCAGCAGAAGCGACACGTGCAGACTCCACAATCATGTGGGAGCCATTGGGTCGAATAGCATTATACCCCTCCACGCTAGACGGGTCTACGGATTTAGAACCAACGGAGCCAAACATCTGTTTCAGTCCATTTGTGGCAGTCCAGCGATGCCAGTACATGTAGGGTTCACTGGTACCAGTCACAGAGCAGATCATTTGAAATGATGAATTAGGATGAAGGACCAGGTCTGCTGGGAACTGGAGAATTTCGAGGTACACACCTGCTGAAAAAGCATCATCCATAATTAAATATCTCCTTTAGATGTACATCGCAAATAAAGAATGCACTATACACTCACCGTCTAAGAAAAACATGCACAGTAAACAATGGAATTTCATGTTTTTGATGGGTATCTAAAGGCATATATCTTAGGAGAATGTTTGTTCTAAATAAGACAACGTTGTCTAATCCCTGTCAAACTAACTGTGTACTGCTAGAGTACAGCAACGCACACCAACTTCATATGTTGTTCCCATGGTCCTCTGCTGTAAAGTTACTGGTTAGTAATGCTTCAAGATCGCCCTCATGTGTCTGGGAGGGCACAAATTATTCTAATGATTTAAGTTTCACATTACTGCTAGTTGGTTGGAATGATTAAGGATTATACTGTCTCTGTTTTTCTTTTTATGACAATTTTAATATATTTCAAATATATATAATAGATTTTAATATGACATGCTTAAATATCAGTTGCAAAAATATGACTGAGTGTATTAAATATTATGTGCTAGTAAGGCATTAAGAGTACACAAGGGTCATCACCAGTGCTTCCCAATCCGGTCCATGGGGACGCACAGACAGTCCACATTTTTGCTCCCTCCTAGCTCCCTGCCAGACAGTTCACATTTTTGCTCCCTCCTTACCCCAATGTCAGACAGTCCACCGTTTTGCTCCTTGCCAGCCCCTGGCCTGTGGGTCTCTGAGGACCGGGTAGGGAAACACTGTCGAGGCAAATTCTGATGGATATTTTTTATCAAAATGTAATTTTTACCACAGATATGGTAAAAACATAGCCTACATAGGGCTGGGGTTAGGGTCAGGGCTACCATTATGTTTGGGAGGAGTGGTTTTCCATAGGTTTCTCTGAAAAAAAGTTGAAGCCCCTTATGGATGATGAGGTGCATGGGCTATCCTGTCTGCATATGCCAGCCCAAGTTTGGTTGCCCTTGCAGGACTTAGAGGGACGCAAACACACACCTACCGCCACCATCGGGAGGTGTATGCTATGCCATTGTGGGTCAGCTACCACTATAGCTAGTTTACTGCGGGTCTGCAGGTGTCCAGCCCCAATTAAGACCTTGGGCCATACTAGCATTTTTAGTCTAGCTATTATGTTATTCAGGGAGGTGCTACACCACTCTATGCTCTATGCTTACTGGCCATTATAGCATTTTGAGCCCCATATATGTAACTAAGCTGGCTTGCCATATATAAAATTTTAACCACCCTGACCCTAGATTAGATAAGCAGCAATGGAAATGAAGGAATGGATAGATCATTTTCACTGGTGTAAGCAAAACATATACTGACCTCTAGTGGCTGTAACTAAACAGTGCCACTCAAACCAATACAGTTCTGACTGGTGGAAAACATCTACAATTGGTTTCTTTCAGTGTGCTTTACAACTCCAGCTAATAAAGAAAAATTAAATAAAAATGTCTTTGATATCTTTAGAGCTTTATGTAAATGTTTAAATTGCTCATATTACATGCATACTAACATATCTACGTATGCTTAAAAATACTATCCACACAAATATGGTGAAAAAGACACAATGTCTGCATCATAAAATACAAGGAAAATGCCTGATATTTTAATGAAAATATTTACTTCATTTCACAAATTACACAAAAATATGCAGTAAAACAATTAATTTAAGAACCATTTTAGATACAGCAATTAGTTAAGCACACTTGGTAAAGACTGTGGACTTAAATGACCGAATGCATACAGTATCTGTCACGTAATCAGTCAAGCTAGTTTGATTACAACAAGCAGCCTGTGAAGAGTGTAGTTTTTTTTTTTTTAAACCAACTTCATAATTAAGTTCATAATTAAGTTAAATAATAATCCAGAATTATTAATTACAGAATTAACTTTTATAACCAATGTTTCTGAAACTGGGGTTCAGGAAAAGGCACTGGTACACTATAAACATTACAAATGAAAAAATCACATCAAGTAACCTCAGAGTAAACTGGAATGATACCGAGACGTTTGTCAGGCCCTATTTGAAACCTCATATTAAAACATGCTCAGATCTGATCGGCTATTAGGATAATGTCTTTATCGCTGAACCTGAAAAACAAACGGCGTGTAAAGCTGACATATTAAGACCTTCATCTCAAAAAATGGATAGATGAACTGGGGAAAAATCTGGATAATCAAAGAAAAGCAACCACTTGACAAAAACCTGTCGTTTGCATTTCTGCATCTTCGTAAGAAAATATACAGGATTCAGAAAATTGTGAAAAAGCGTTAATATTGAAAACAGCTGAGACAGAAAGTATAGCAGGATCAGGCAGGCACTAATAATCATTTTTCTGATGGGAAAACAGAAAGAATTCATGTGACTAAAATTACATAACAGTAAAAATATCCAAAAAAAAATTCACTCACTCCAACAGGTATATCTACTATTATAATATTTATTAACATAAAAATATGAGTGTTACACAGTATGGAAAATTAATCCATCTCAGTTTTATTTCCAATTTAAACATGATATTTATGATTCGGTTTTTAAATAACCTTGTAAGCAAGTGAAGCAGATGTGCTGTGTCTGCTTTTGGTCCTTAAGCTTGAGTCCCAAGGCTATGGCTTCTGTTCACCTTCGCTACACACAGTCTGCCAGCTCCCTCGCTGCCCTATGCGTGCCGAGCACAGCTAGCACAACAGAAACTGGAGTAATACTGATTCGAGCACAGACGGGCATACACAATCAGGTCACAGTTTGCTAACTCTGGCTGGTCCGTGCAATCCAAAGAGATACCTTCTCCTGCAGCCAATCCTGCAGAATGAGCATGACAGAGGCAATGAGTGACTATAGCACTTAGAGGTAGCTATTCCTCTGACATTTAACATTACGCTTCTACTGTAAAACCTGCAAAAATGGGGCAGATTGATGGAGAAAAGGAAAGAAAAATGAATGGGTAGTATGATAAACATGTGGAGCGTGTAGATGTTAGAAGGTGGTGCTGTGCCTACCTGACTGTAGATCCTTGGTAACCCGCACCTCGGCCGTGGCGCTGACTGAGTAGGTACCAGTGTAGGCGTTGCAGGTATACGACCCTTCATCCAATGGCTGTACATTGTTCAGAATCAGACTCCCATCTAAGGACACCTGGATACTACGGCCATTTGGTCGCACTGGTACTCCATTTCTGCAGGGGGTGTAACGCATTAAAATGCTGAGCGACACTATAAATTAGTGCCTTCTAGTCAGGAATAGCTAGCAAAAATAAATTCTTGACATCAAAATTGATGATATCAAATGGATGTAAAAAACTGTAATGCTTAAATAAATAGCATTAGCTGGTATATAACAAATTCTACTGGCTTGATTCTGACAACCAAGACATTCTTTTGCTGCAATAAAATATCTCTAACCTTGACCATCCAATGCTGACGTTGTCTCCAGAGACGACACAAGGCAGCTGTGCTGTGCTGCCCCTAGAGACTTGGATGTTATTGGGCGCTGTCGTGATCCTCAAATCCCCTGAGATGCATACATGGACAGGTACAAGAGCAGAACACATTTGCAGGATCACATGAAATTCAGATTATATACGTCTTAAAAAATAAATGATAACTATGGAACTGCATACTTAACACTTTGAGTTGCAACTGTCGCTCATCTTTATGGTTGTGGTTAGAAACAGTGCAGGTATAGATGCCAGAATCTTCAGAGGTCAGCTGATTAATTGTCAAGGATCCATCAGATTGCTGAATGTGTCTACAGCAAATTAAAGGATCCAGTTAACATTAATATTGCATCAAGTGTTGTAATTTTATTAGCATTAAATATGTCAGTTCACGATAATAGTGTTCTCTGCATTATACATCAGATTATTACATAAGAACATATGTCAGAGTCAGTTACCTAAATGAGTTCATGGTCTGTCCATCTCTGCTCCACGAAATGGTGACAGAGCGCATGGAGGCTGCGTGGGAGAGTCTACAGGGGAGCCTGGCTGTTTGGCCCATCCGACCCTCCACTAATGAGGGGTCTGATTGATCAATACTAAGCCTGTCATCACAGGAACAAAACATTAAGTGGATGAATATGCGGGTATGTGTGTAATTGTGAGAATCAGAATCTCTACTGCACCACGACCAAGGATGGTGGAGAATATTTATTTCTGTACCTGTGGGAGCTCTGCTTGGGTGTTTGAATGATGGATGGTTGAATGACCTCTGACGCTTGACTCTCCACACCATCTTTGTAATTATTGCTCTGCATATTCGGAGAAGATTCTTCTGTCACAGAGAGTGTTTGGATGATTTACATATTTTTCAAGACCAGTGGCTATGAGCAAAATAAATTCAAGGTTTCAGAGAACTTTCTCTGCGAATAAAAATCCTGTGAAAAGGATGAATCCAACAAAACTGATAGAAAACACAAGTAATGAACTAACCGGACACAGAAAGGTAAATGTAGCGGTGGTCTCTCTCTCGCCCCCTTGTGGCGACACAAAGCACCCAACCCGAATCCTGCATGGTCAGGGGTCCCACCAATAGAGAACCATTCGGTTGCTGTTGATACCTGTGAATACAGACAGAAGGTCACAAAATCTAACATTCACAAGCAGGAATATTCAATATCACAGTCCAGAATTGTGAAACAGCCACCATGTATGATGGTGTAAACACCTTAAGAACAAAAGGCTGTTCGTTTATTCTTAGATTCATTGGCAATGAACGTAACCTAAAGAGTTTCAGCAAAAAATGCATGTGAATATACAGATTATGAGTCCAGTTAGGAAAGGAATTAAGCAACAACAATAATGATGATGATGATGATGATGATGATGATGATGATGAACAATGTGGTCTGCTCACCTGGAGTTTGAGATGGCATTTCCATCTTTTCTCCACTCTACCACAATGGTGGAGGAAGGCGGATGTGTGACCTGGCAGGGCAGTATCACAGTCTGTCCCACACGCCCCTCTATCGAGGAGGGGTCTGACTGATCAATGCTCACACCAAGGCTGCTTAGAGAGAATGGGGGGCACACAAAAGTGAAGCAGGAACAGCAGAAAAGGCACAGGAAGAGGCAGAGGAAGAAGTGAAAGATAAAGAGACACACTAAAGCAGAGTTTCTCCACCCAGTTCTCAGGAACCCCCACACCGTCCACGTTTTTGCTCCCTCCCAGCTCCCAGAGCACCAGTACCAGGTATTCTGTGTATTTGATTGGCTGGGAGCTGGGAGGGAGCAAAAATGTGGAGGTTCCTGAGGGTCTGGTTGAGAAATACTGGATCCAGACAAAAAAAAAAAAAACTTCATGTCAATACTAAGATAATAAAACCTAATAAAATTTCAAAAATACTTAGAAGAGACACTAATTCCAGATGAAACATATGAAAGTTATTATGTTAATGTATTATGCTATAGAATTGCTTTATCTTTATTATGTATTCTGTTATAAAGAGATATTGACTATCCGTTCTGTATCCACATCGCGGACAGTAACAGGTGTGACAGTTATATGCTGCCTAACCTAGTTTCTAGAAAGCCTTAATCCTTTTTCAGGAGGTTGGGGGTTCACCAGTTCACCAGAACACACAATGATTAAGATTAGTCATGAGAATCAAGAGTGAAATTCAGAATGGGCCACCTGAAGACACTAAGGTGGACAGCAAAGATTATTTGGACAGGGGCATTGAAGTTCCCCGTTTGAGCTGGCAAATTTAATTTAATGGCAATTATAGGAAGCCTAGAAAGAAAATGGATATAAAACAGATAAGGCAGAAAATGAGAGGAGGTTATGAATGAAATGGAAAACCAAAGGAGTTGCTGCTCATTCAAACACCTCGATGCTCTGTTAAACTATGTACCTCAGGGTCACTAAGAACCTGACTTCATGTAGCACCTAAAATGTGACCTTAGCATGTTCCCTACAGTGAATAGTGGTAATCTCTGGGCATAAGCCGCTCAGCTACTCCTAGGGCTCACTCTGTGAACCATAGCTAATACCCCAAGACAATACTACAGAATCACAGTATTAGTAAGTATACTGTGTGATATGGGGCCTGGATCTCTTGCGTAGCCAGGATAACTTGTCGGATTTAAGGTACCCCAGTTTAAAATGCATCATCTTCATTCACGTACATTTATCCCAGGCTACCTTAAATCCAACAAGTTATCCAGTTAAGCAAAAAATTTAGCTTCCCTGGGTTATATCCAATAGAGAGATGATTGTGTTGCTGTCAATCCCATGCAAATCACAGTGAAAAGTACAGACACAAAATAGCTGGGAGGACAGGCTGTGCTGTCATTCAAAATTTAATTAAGCATATAACAAAATTCCTGTATTTCTATATACTATTAATAATGCCTTATAAGAGCAACCATGGTCAACAACAAAATCTGTACAAATCTTTAATTTCTTGTCCAAACAGGATATGGCAACATTATTATCATACTGAGTCTTTGAGGACTAAAGTTGCTGCACACATAAACTCTTAATAATATTTTTAATACCTTCTTTTAAAAACTAAAACAATGCCTTTTGGTGCCATCACAGTGGACAGTTTGGTTAATTTTAATTAAATATATAAAAAATGCTAAAGCTGGGATTTATTGCAAGTATTAATTTTTGTTCACGAATTAGAGACAATATACAACATACAAACAGAAGTAAGATCATGACCATGATATGCTCTGAAAAAACAATGGATTTGATATATCCTAAAAACAAGGGAGATGTCAACAGATTATGATGAGTTTTATTCATTGTTCAGTAACTCTGGGAAGAACATTTATTTGGTTTTCTACTAAGCATCTACACTCTGGTGGCACAGAACAAATGATTCAATGACCCCTATGCATGCCAGAGAGCCTGATTGTCAGACACAATAGATGAAGCAGAAGATTATGTTAATGGTTGGATGAAAGCAATGAATCAAGGAAGCTTCAAATCAAGAAATTAACAATCGCAAACACTGCCGTATGAAGCAACCATACATTTTAAGGAGATAAAATATTCATATAGCTGCATGAATGTTTGCATTTTAAGTTCTCTTTTGCAGAGATGGCTACTAATGTTATACCTAGTTTTAGATGTATGGTTCTTCTACGACTGAGAACAGAGACGGTGATGCACAGGCAGACAATGCGGCAAATTCTTAATCCGTTCAATTTAATGACATCAGCAATGACAGGAAACACAGAGTTCATGAATCGACAGGCACTACAAGACACCTACAGCTCTACAAGCAGATGACTGAGTGAAGAACAACAAAAAAAGAAAAAAGTTCCAAAGTACAGAATTCTCCACCTGGGCCTTTTCTTGTATGGCTTCTTTAGTCAGGTTCTTTCCACACTGAGAGTGAATGTATGTATGGTGTGCATGTTGTGTCTTGTGGGTGTTTGGTTTTAGGGACAGGTGTGTGTATGTCTGGCCTGAGAACCTACCTTGCTCTCAGATCACATGGACATTAATGGCAAGTTCTTTCTGAGACAGTAGAACAGCACAGCTCCATCCCAGGAATGGTGAAATAGAACGGTTGGGCGAGGAGCTTGGGGCCTTGGCCAAGGGTAAGGAGAGGTCCACATTGTCTTACCTCGCCGTGGGATAGGTGTGCTGGAGCTTGCTGGGGACAGGGAGGTGGCCATGATGGTGAGCTTGTGTAGCGGCACTGCTTTCCTGTCTGCTACCTGAATCCGAGCCTCGGTTGACGGTGAATAGCTGCCTCATGTCCCGTCCGTGGCTGGGCGTCGACTCCCTCCTTCCTGACACCTGGAAAAGGCGCGGCTGCCCTTGGCCCTGGCTGTGGCTGTGGCATTCCCTTTCGCACTCCTCCTTCGCCAAAAAGTTGTTCCGGTTGCCCTGGCAGCTGCCATACCAGAAGTGGAGACAGGTACTGGTGTGTGAGTCATAGTAATACCGGGCTGTCCAGTCACTGCACGGGCCTTGGGCGTAGGGCAGGGAGCAGGCTGGCCTTTGAGCTGCAAAAAAAATGTCACCAATCACCAATGACAATAACCCATCTCAAACATACTCAACAATAAACCCATACTTCGCTTTTCCATAAATAAGGACATTGACAATCAAATTATCACGTCACTTTCCATACAGCTTACATTATCTATACTAAACTTGAAAGATGAAATTTTGCATTAAAAAATAAATATATGATAAACCTAAACAATTAAACTAGTATTCCTCTAAATACAGATGCCCCTCTACTTACGAAGGTATAAGACATCTTAAGGTATACTGACATCTTGCTTATGAATGTTCTATGAATGCATTATGATGTTGCAATGAATGTTCTATGAATGCATTATAAAGATATTATGAGGGTGCTGCTAATGTAAAGCCTTACCATATGTTTTTCAGATTCAGATTTAGACTTAGATTGCTTTATGTATCCCCAAGGGGCATCGGTGTAAATTACAGGGGGATGGGGGGGTTGTAACTCCCCCCCCCCCCCCATAATCAAAACCGGCTAATACAACCTCCCAATAATCATGTCTCCCTCTAAATGGTTGGAGATCTCAAACACAGACATGAGGTAGGCATAGACAAACACCATAGACAAACACCATAGGCAGAACACCATAGACAAATACCATAGACAGAACACCAAACTACAAATTACAATAATATATATGTACAAATAAGCTAAATGTACAAATATGCTAAATTTAGTGTTATCAATGGTTATTGCCATGGTCAGGAATGACCTCCTGTTACGATCTATATATGTTAAATACTGATATTTGTTTATTCCTGTTTTCCAGTTTTCCAAGGATCACACAAAAGGCTGTTTACTATTTATTAACGAAGAGCCCATTGCCTAATAAAAAAATAATTCTTTTAGCGTATTGAGGTCGTACATTTCTCAGTTTCCATTACTCACCATCGAGAGGCGGACTGTGGCAGCCGTCTCCGTTGGGGCCGCTGGCTAACGTCACCCGATCATAGCAGCACCCGAAGGTGGCAGATCGGCACTGCTCACTGAGCTCTCCCGGGGTAGGGGTCTTACCCTGGTGTTGGGGAGGCGGGCAGAGGGGGTAAGCATCTGTCTGGGGACACACAGGGGGGCAATGCGATGGCACAGGACCGCCCTCACCAAAGAGCGGCTCACGCTGTACTCCATGCATCCTTCTCTGTTGGGACCCTGTGCTGCAGAAACGTCATCGTCACAGCAGCCATACCTGGCAAAATCAGACATGAAGGAAATCCAGCTAGACACTGTATATAAACAGCTATTTGCCTGATTTGCACTCTGCTTCATGTAGGTTCATTGACCTCTCAGTTTCAACAGAATGAACGTTCAGGCATTAATGAGCTTAACTCAAATAAATTTGAAAACCTGGTATGTGACAGAAAGTTTCTCAATAGAATTAAATGTTACGTGTTTATGAGCCTCTGACTTCTATGACACTTTTTTGTGATGGTCTAGAACAGGGTTTCCCATTTCTGGTTCTGGGGGGCCAGAATGAAGATTTCCCTGCTGAAACACACCTACTAAACCTGGTAACTGGCTGATTAAGATATATTTCAGCAGGGAAATGCCTTCCTAGGCCGGAATTGGAGAACACTGTAACAACGCATTATGTAATAATGCCACATTATTCTCAGCAGAATGTAACAAATTTAATGATGATAATAATGATGACAATGATGATAATCATAACGATAATAACGATGATAATGATAATAATAATAGAGTAATAGTGCAATATAAAATTATAATGTAGTCTACAAATTTGTAACAAATTTGTTATTACATGATGTGTTGTTACATGATGTGGAACAGCGCATTATATATAAATGTCGCATTATGTGATGAAAATCTGTTACATCTTTGTTGCATTATTGCATAATGCATTGTAACAAACCCTGGTCTACAAAGATGAAGTTACCTGCTTTGTCTGCAGTCCTGCTCTGGGCAGCCTTCGCCATTGTACCCTCTGGCGGGGGTATAGCCATCGGGACAGCAGCCGTAAGATGACTGAGAGCAGTGCGAGCCCCCGCTCAGGGGGTCAGACACCGTGTTTGTGTATGACGTGTCTCTGTGCTCCTGCCTATGGACTAAGAGCAGCACGGGGCTAAATGCAAAGGAATAACTGACAAAACAGATTTCAGCACTGACTGTCACAGACAACACACAGAAAGGGCTCAGATAAGAGGCAGAACGCACACGTTTATGGGACATATCGATGGAAATGCATATACTGTTGTAAAACTGACAGTGACTCTGTCTCAAAGCTCACCTCAAACGCAAGACTTACTGCCTCAAAGCTCACCTCAAAGACACGACTCACTGCCTCAAAGCTCACCTCAAAGACACGACTCACTGCCTCAAAGCTCACCTCAAAGACACGACTCACTGCCTCAAAGCTCACCTAAAAAGACACGACTCACTGTCTCAAAGCTCACCTCAAAGACAAGTCTCACTGCATCAAAGCTCACCTCAAAGACACGACTCACTGCCTCAAATCTCACCTCAAAAACACTACTCACTGCCTCAAAGACAATGTCAATATTGTGCTATACACAGAGAGTACATACCGATACAGAAAAGAATCTCACACTCTCAAGGGAAAATCCCATTCATAGCCTCATTAACATATAAGCCAAACATAAACAGCAACTCAGACACACTAAACACTAAACTGAAACGGAACCAAACATAAAGTCAGGCTAAATACAGGAGGGTCTGTTGCTGACACAATGAGAGCACTAACCCTTTCAAATTGAGGAAACAATGTCAAACAAACCTGCAGGCCTGCATTATTGCTGCCGGTTGGTGGGGGGGTGAAAGGGTGGAGGGATTGGTGATTATATAAGAGAAGGGGGAAGCCAGCCGAAAAAGAATGGAGTTGGCAAGGAACACAAATGAATGATACATGGGACAGGAACTGGGGAAAATGGTGAATTCATTCATGAAAAACCTGTTGTGGGGGCCTCAGGGACGAAGGGCAGAAATCCATGCAGGGTGTTGTCGTAGCCTCTGGGGTCCTGCATGCTGGGCACCACTGCAGGGCAGAGAAAACACAGAGGAACAGGTGTAAATACATCACTCAACCAGAGAATTAAAGTTGGGCAATGTAGACTAGACACAGTGGGAGTAATCATATTTGCTTTTCTGGCAAATGTTTCTATCCACACAGAGTGACACACAAGTGAGAAAATGGGGTCAGTCAGACCCCAGGGCGACTGGGGGTTAAGGGTTTTGCTCAAAGACCCAACCATCCTAACCCGCTGAAGCACACACCGAGGTCCACCATGTTCTTGTGGAACTGAGAGCACAAAGGAACAGCACTCACACTGCGCACTGTAGCAGGGCTGGGTATTGCAGGGTTCCAGTGTGGGAGGCTTGGCGCGGGTGTCACACCGATCCGCCGTGTACAAGTTCCTCTCCGTGTCCGAACAGATCACCTGGCGTTCCCGTAATCCTGAGCCGCAGCTTTTCGAGCACTGAGGTAAACAAGATGACGGCGGCAAGAGGAACCAGATTTATGCTATGCGGCGCAGCATTTTACATTCAATATGAATTCACACATCAGTCCGCAGCTAATGGCCGTGTCTTCGTGTGCTGTCACCACCAGCAAGGGCACTCACCAGACCCCAGTCTCCGATGTGCCAGGAGATGTGGTGGTAACAGGCAGGCATGTGGCAGGGCTGAACGTGGGGGGGGCGTGACAGACCTCTGCAGGCGTAATCAGCGAGCTGCACCCCACCTGCTCCCGCGCACGTCACTCTGCGGGTCTGCTCCCCTCTGCCGCACGTGACTGAACACTGCCAACCAACATCATGACACCAGACTGAGAAACACAGCATGGAAACAGATACCTTCAGCTTCGGGTTTTTTTACCAATAGTATGTGGAGGGCTGTGTAATAACAGGCGGACTTGGGCTGTCACGGTACATGAATTGTCGTGTACTGTTTGGTTCATCCTTTTTGGTTCCGTACAGATGATGAAACAAATTAATACATATATTGACATGGACAGAGCCTAAATTCACAAGCTGATGTCCAACATGAAAACATGCTAATCGTGGCTGTGAGTTTGTTACAGCTAATGCTGATCACAGTCAGTCATAATAGGCAGTTAGGGAACATTTCAGTTTCCCAATAAATTATCAAACACTAGTTGATAAGACCAATACTGGCACTCATGGGAGTTTTACTTAAACAGAAATGTTCTGAGGGCAGGACAAAAAAATGATTGGTTTAGAGAGATAACTAATCAGATTGTAGAGGAGGTGGGTCCAACTAACTAGAGGAGGTAGGACCAACCAATCAGATGTCTTGGTCCCGATTCCTCTCGTTGCTTGGACCCACCTCCTCTACAATCTGATTGGTTATCTCTCTAAACCAATCATTTTTTTTGTTCTGCCCTTAGAACAATTTTGTGCAAGTGAAACTCCCACGGGCAATACTGTCTGTCAGCTCAGTCTTTGCAGTGCCCACCTGGGTCCAGTGTGAGACGCTGTACTCAGCGCACTGCTGCAAGTTGCAGGACTGCTGGCTGAGAGGCTCCGGCAGGTATGCAGCGCAGCGAGAGTCCTCAACCACGCGGGAGCCCACTGCATCATGGGAAAGGCACTGCACGCTGCGGGACTGGGTGCCTCCGCCACACGAAGCGGAACAGGTGCTCCACTCACCCATCTTCCAGCTCCGGGTTGCCAAAGGTAGGGGAAGGGATAGGGCAGGAGGGAGAACAGACTTAGAGGGGGATTACTGCCACAGAGGGAATGGATCTGAGCGGTCAATCTGGCACCCACACATGCCACACCTCCACTGCATCCCCTGCCACCTGCACCCACAGCTCCAAAGCTACCCCAACCCCCACGACCAAGCAGCAGAACGGCACCGGAACACGCATCCGTCAGTGCTACAAATGTGCTGACTGCAATGTCACTAGAACACATCAACACTCGACAGTGTTAAAAATCATCAAGATGTACTTCTCAGATGACATTTATTGTATATCATAAATCTTCCTATTTTTATTCACCTTTAAGTGTGAAAGTGTGAGGCAACACTGCTACTCCGTAAAATATCAATAGGTATTATTATTATTATTATTTTGATATGAATTAGAGGTGTTGCCTTCCTTGTGCATGTGTAGTTTGCATGTTCTTCCGTGTCATGTAACATATTACAAACATGCATAAATTCATCTATTATTCCCAAATCAGTGGGAAAAGTCCACACGTGAGCATGGAGATGAAGGACAGCTCAACATAGACACCAGAGTTACTCTACTATGTTTCAGTTAATAAGAACATGATGGAAAGCAGATTTTTTTTTTGCAAGAACAGCCCAAACAAACTGAATGTCAATCTGTTTTTCACTTCTAAAGTGAATTGACATAGCAATTCAATTCAAAACCTGACAGAATTAGTACTAATTTTCAAAAACATACTACACAATAAATGAATACTAATTCCACTCCATAAATGTCTTTTAATTCATTCATGAAAATAATTAGCACTCAGGTGAGTTTAGTGACAGTTTATGTGTTTATGTCTACAAAAACAGTCTATGAAAAAATCCATAATGAGCATTAACTAAGAAACTGAAGGTGTTAATTGGAAGATAATCAAATTTGACTACACGATATCCACACAACAGAGATGACAATTATTCTTATATTTTTGACTGTGTCTTGTAAATAATATATAGTGGAAAGATTTAGAGAATATTTATTCAATACTACTAAGTTTTTCCATGTAACTGGATTGCTTTGGATCGATTTGAATTCCAATCAGAAACCTCATAAGGCAGTTCAAAATTTCAGCCACTAGGGGACACCGGTGGCACACAGTCCTTCAATTGGTGAACAAATGGTGAATATGTTGGCACATATAATCACACAATGAAATATGTCAATACGGATATTTATAAACCAGACATAAAGCTATGCTAATTACCAAGACAAAATAATTCTACCAGAACAACCATACAACCACCCAGCTCAAAGATCAAGACAGACAAAACAAAATCAAGATCATAGGTTGATAGGTAGACAATTAAAACTCTCATGTTAAATACATATAAAATAATTTCCAAGTTTTCAATCCCAGCTGTTTTATCTGATTCAAGTAGTTTTGTTTCCCTCTTAAAATTATGGTGAAGGGAGAGGGAAACAGATCTCTGAGCTGGACAGTTGTCCACCAATTCCAAATGCAACACCAAAAAGGACCTCCCAAAAAGATCGCCCAAAAAAGACCATGGTGCAGACTGAACTCAAACACAAACGGCATTCGCAATGTAAACATTTATAAGCAAAATCAAGCAGATTGAGCAAAAACACGCTTCATTAAAAAGTTGTGGCTCTGCTTACTAGGACTTATTGTAAGTGCAGTTTGTGATTTTCGTTGGGAATTCTGGTGCAAACACACACAAGGCTAAGGGCTTTGTCAATTTTGGTCTGTGTTTGAGGTCAAACTCCTGAAATACTGTGAGCTGCCTGCTCCTGCGGTGGGGTGGCCCTCATGTTACCTGTAGACCAATGTTCTGGGCCTTTCCAAGGGCCTCCACATTTGCGGCCGGTACACGTACGCCATCCTTTCAAATGAAAACACACCAGGAGCTGTGAGACCTGACCAAAGCCGTTTATTCCTTGCCTATAATATATTCCCCTCTACAGCCTGCATTCATTGTCACTTCTGCTCTCCCTGCTAATTAACTTGCTTTTTTAAAGCACTACCCAGGCATTTATTTCCTCCTGAGAAGTTCTGTCAGACTGGATCATGAGCAGCTTATTAGCTTATTTATTATTATTTAAGTGCCACAATACAGTTCAGTCATTTCAATCAAAATTTCAGTATTTTTGTCAGATAAACAAAAGCTTGAAAACAATGGCAAATTAAAATATTAACACTGATATTGATATATTGTTTTAGTTTGAGAAAAGCTGCATTGTTATATTTAAGAAATAATCTGTCATTTAGTAAATGTTTAATACATAGATTTATGCATTTAAAGTATGTTGAAATTGTAAATGGGGAAATGTACAAAACTATAACTTGAATATTAATGAAAAATTAAATTATGTATGAAGTTGGCAAAAACTTGACAACCACAACATACACTGAACTAACACACTGAGTCTCCTACAGACTACCCTGTATTAAAGTCTGGCAGCAAGACCTCAATTTCAGTAACATTCAGAAAAAAAAATCTAAACGGATTGGCACAACCACACAATGGAAATTCACCTGAGTGCCCACTTTCCTCATTCCTTAATACCCCTCGAATATTCTAGCTCACCTGCGTCTCTGTGGACATGGCTGCAGGTTGCAGGTCCGATTGCTAGCAGGTCGTGGAAGGGCAGAGCACAGATAGTCTGGGTAAGCCTCGTCATCGAATGCACAGAACACCAGGCGAGACTGGTATCCTAAAAAGCACAGAGATGACACTTTCTTCACAACGGCATTCATTTTCTATAGTACATTTGTTTTCGCAAGTTTTTAAAGATCACTTGGGACTGAAGAACCTTTATCCAGTTCAATTGCAAGCTAAAGACTCTACCTTAAACCCTAAATTAACTCACTTAACTGTATTTTCACAAAAACACTAACTGAAGTTAATTATGTGCCGTGTTAACTGTAGTCTGGCTGAACCTTTTGCGTTTCACAAAACGAGCTAAACAAAATCAGTAAACAAATGAAATCAATAAAACAAAAAACACAGATGGTGAAAGACGTACCTGATCCACAGTCCTTACTACACTCAGACCATGAACCGTAACTCCAGAAATAACCTTCCCTGGAATGATTCTGGGACAGGAAGTACTCATACTCCACACCACGGTTTTCACCCTGGCTGATCAGCTACGTAGGAGGAGTGATATAAGTATTTTTGTATGCCACTGATGAGACAGTTAACAGCGACACTCATGTTATAGCAAGGCTGTTTCAGCAATACACTACCAGTATGACAAAATACTGTACTAAAGTACTTACATTCAACACATGTAAGATGGAACCATATATCAAGCAGACAAAGTATACAATCTAGTGTCTTAAGCACATCCGTGACTATAACCATTTATAGATACTATCCAACCACATTTATAGAATCATAAAAATTCATTAATGGATGGTTTCTATTTGACATGATGTAAATATTTTGATTTTCATGAAATATCAAAACATTACTAACTCACTGTCAGTTGATTAGGGCAGCAAAATCACAGTGTGGCCCTCTTTGGTAGTGGAAACTTTAAATAAATACTCAGAATGAACATATTTACAATAATTAAACATTACTAGTAAGTCTGAGCAATAACGTAATTGAACGGTTTCCACAATACTTTGAAGCACTGTAAAGACAAAGCACCACACTGCTAACTTCTGCTCAAAATCACACATTGCCTCTGAAAATAAAACAACAAACTTTCACTCAGTTTGATTGGGCTGTTCTTGAACAAAGTCGGGTTGCTTGCCTGACCTCAATAACCAGGGGTTCAGTAGTTGGGCCCCGAGCCGTAATAGTTTCTGGTGCCATGTCCCCTTCCGTGCCTCTCTGGTAATAGAACGTGGTCCCAGCAATGGGTAATGCACCAGAGTAATCGATGACCCAGTCCCCATTCAGATAGTACTCGTTCCGCAGATTCTTGATAGCTGAGAATGCAACAAGTGAAACCACAAGCAGTGAAAAAAAGCAGTTCCTGTCCACCGGCTCCATCACTTCACTGCGTAAGTACAAAACACAGTCATATATTTAAGTGTAAACCCTTCATCGTACTGAATGGATAGTTAAGAAGAAAACGCTCAAAATATAACATGCAAAACATAACTATACACCTAGGGTTTTTAATAAACAGTAATTTGATGATTCTTGTTGTTACCAAGTCTTATGTACAACCTCCCTACGCTGCTCACCCAAGTAGTTGCGAGTAGCGACTATCTCTCGAACTCGAATGGTGGTGGATCCCACAGGAATGATGACCATCTGATTGTAACCTTGAGAGGAATGAGCATGGAAAGCAGATTATCGGCATGTGAAGCCTACAGTAGCAACAATAACTAATATAGAAATTTAAATATGTTTGTCGCATTGATTCTTTACATTGAACAGAAAATACAAAATCGAATATGGGTAGTAGTCTTCCCTCCCCTAAAATTACTGATAATTTTACAGGAATTCCAGAACTGCATAAATTATTCCATAACTCTGTCTTGAACACTGCAATGTCTGCCCTGTCATGGTTGTGGTCCAGGAGGGATGACATTTCATTTCACCATGTACTGTACATGGCTAAGGTGACAATAAAGCTTTATTTGACTTAATTTCACTTAAGGCCACTTAAAATTAATAAATTGTTTTACATGGCCGCCCGCCTCAATTTTTTGGTGCCGCCTTGATTTTTTTAATATTTTATATTTTTCAAAAAATCCGTTTCTTTCACCTCAAAAACTGTGGGTGAAAAATCTTGAATGTCAGCCTTGGATTTTTCAATTTGACGCTTCTCAGACAATGGTTTTTATCGTTTGTCAGATTGTGTGTGGGCCCACGGTATTAAAATCTTGGCAGGGCATCAATATACCGAGTAATATTACCCTTCGCGAGCTGTTTGAGAACTTTTCTAGTTTTAGTATATCTCTGTTGCCGTTCGTCTTTTCGCTAAAAATATAAAATATAAAATCCCCTACTCACCAATATTTTAGAAGTTTGAATCATGTAAAACTATTTATTAATTTTAAGTGGCCTAAATGAAAAAAAAATAATCATTTGATACTGGCATACATATTCCTGCAAATAATAATTCAACTTATAAACAAGCTTTATATAGTCAGAACCTAATACATTATGGTACACAGTTATATTTGTTTATTTATTTTTCTTATCCAGCTGCCTTCTATTTCATAAAAATGGTCTCAAAGGTGAAACAGACCAAGGCAGAAAGTCTGAGAAGGCCCTTCTAGGGGATTAGATGGGGTGCACCACTGATATTTTACCAGTAGGGAGGTCAGATGGGGTGTACCAATGGTGTTTTACCTGTAGGGAGGTTAGATGGGGTGTACCAATGGTGTTTTACCTGTAGGGAGGTTATGCATAGAAAATGTGCCCTTAACCAGCTGACAGGACTGTCCGTTCCCCCCACACTGGAGACAAGGATCCTCCTCAAGGGGTGATTCTAGCATGTTGTCACAGCCTAGCCGCTACAGATACAGAAAGTTAAAGGGTCAAAGATATGAAAACATACATTCTGACATCAATCAAAGTGAAACACTCCTCTCATTTACCCGACAATACCAAAAAGCGTACACTGTAATGCACTTAAGCAGGCTCCCTTCTACCCAGTGCATGTGAGTATTACAGCCTACTCACCTTGCAGACCCCATCCACGCAGATGTCCCTGCGCCCAGGGTGACAGGGCGTTCCGTCCACCGCTGCCATGCGATGACGATAGTAGAAGTTCTCCCCTCTGGGGATGCAGTTAAGTTCACATGGATTCTCCCCTTAAGCGAAAAGCACAGCGAGTCTCACTATTGAACGAACACTTATCCTGCTTTTGCAGGATACTTTTGCACTACATTTACTATGTTTGCACAATGAACACTGTCCTCGCCCTTTGTCTGTTCTGCACTATATGTATGTTCTTTCTGCTGTATGCAGCAGAATTTTCCCCTTGGCATCATTAAAGTCCGTTTTAATCTTGATCTTTTGGCGGCTCAGTAGGCCAAGGACCTCCAGCGTTATGTCTGTGTGTGTTTGCCGTTTGTGTTCTCGGTGTCACCTGGATTTCCTCCCACAATCAAAAGAAAGGCAATCGGGTTCATTTCTGACTCCAAACAATTTTAACCACTTTTCATTAATCTCATAAGTGTTTATTTCAATACCGCAGGAAGCACAGAGAAAAGGAAAGAAATACAGTGAATCGGATGTCAGTCTGTGTTAACACAGTCAATTTCTTTTTCATCCATCCATCTTCTGTACCTGCTTGTCTTACTCAAGGTTGTGAGGGGTCCACAGCCTGCTGGCGAAAGGCAGGGAACAGCCCAGGATGGGGCACCAATCCATTACCTGGTACATGCACACCGACGGGAAATTCAGGAACTCAGAAATTCATTAATTCAGGACCTCCAATTAACCTCAGCATGTTTTTGGACTGTGGGGGGAAACCAGAATACCCAAAGGAAATACCATGACAACTAACAGAGAGCATGCAAACTCCACACACACAGAGCCACGGCAGAGACTCAATCCCTAGTCGCAAATGTGCAAGGTAACCATGCCAACCAGTACAGCATCATACCACCCCTAAAAATGTTTTCTCAGTCACCAATTCACATAAATAATAATGCAAACATGAGGCTAAAATGCAGATTCCAGTGAGGATGGATTAAATCCCATAAGCCTGCTGATGTAGTGGCAAGGAATTAACACTGAAGCAGTAATGCCGTCATTAAAAGTGACGTGCTACATTTGGGGACGCGTTAGGAGCTTGCTCGTCAAAACACGTTTTAATGCTCGCCATGCCGCAGCTGTCACTGGTGGAAAGGGGAAGGCGAATTAGCTCATAGTCAAATGCAGCAAGGTTCTCTCACCCATTCTACACCCTGAAGCTAAGCCTGTTAGCCAGGTGCTTTTGTTGGAAACTGCAGATCATAACGGAACATACCTGAGAGCAGGGGCGCCGCTAAGGGGGGGAAAGTTGGGACAATTCTAAGGGCCCACGCCCTTTAGGGCCCCCCAGAGATCTGCTTTATTAATAATAAGTTACCGTAGGGGGGCCCAACCTCATATTTTGTCATAGGGCCCAAAATTGCTAGCGGCGCCCCTGCCTGAGAGAACACATATCAAAGCAGGCGTGCCTGTTCTGAATTTAGTGGGCAGCCTCCATGGGATGGATTATCTTAAAGTTCCAAATTGGAACAACAGGGAAGGCAAATTACGTAAACTGTATATAGACATTGTTTTGGGACATATTGATACTTTTACTTGCCATTTGGGCAAGGCAAGTTTGTTTATTAGCGCATCTGCAAGCACAGAAGTCATTCAGATTGCTTTACATAGAATAAGATCAAATAAAAGCAAATCATTAAATGAAAATTAAAAACAGTGCGGCTACAGGGACGTATAAATTCATTGTTTTTCACATATTCCTTATTATTCTCCATGAGATAAAAATAAGAGTGAAGCCTGGGGTCAGAGCGCAGGGTCAGTTCCTGGGGTTATGGGCCTTTGTCAGGAACCCAATAGTAACATGACGTATCCTAATACAGTCCTTGAGGGCCCACAGACAGGCCACATTTGTGCTCCCTAGGGAGCGAGGAGGTTGGAAAAATGTGGACTGTCTGGCAGGAAGCTAGGAGGTAGCAAAAATGTGGACTGTCTGGCAGGGAGCGAGGAGGGAGCAAAAATGTGGATCATGTGTGGACCCCCAAGGACCGGCTTGGGAAACACTGATGTATATCGTAGCTCAGTGAATCTGTGAATACAGTGCAGCACAGGGAGGTGTTCTGCAGTAGAAAACTTCTTCTAGACATGGTCGACATTACCTCCGTAGTATGGCAGCCATTTATAGTGCTTTCCCTGGAAATCCATTCCGTCGAAATGCGCACACTGCTCCTCTCGGAAGTCCCTGGATCCTTCAGGACAGTCCTATTCAAGACCCAGCTGAGAATGAGTACGTGCAAATCGGAAGGACTGCGATGCTTAGGCTTTTAAATTTGTCTGATGGACACATCATTAAAGGAAAGAGGATATATAAATTACAAAGGTGTGTTTGCCTCCCTCTGGGGTAGCAAGTTGGAAAAAGACTAGGAAAGTGAGAATATCAAGTCTTATTAATCATCAGTGGTGGTTGTAGACCATCTCAGCTGGGGGGCCAGGCTGGGGGGCCAGGCTGGGGCCAGTTGTTCTAGTAGGGGGCCAGATGCATTTGACCTTAACGTCCTCCAAGTATTACTTACACTAGACTGCCAGCATTAAGAAGCAAAAGACAATTTTGAAAACTGATAAGTTATTTATGCAATGCTTTGCAGTTAGATTTAATGTGTTTTACAAATATGTAACCCACTCTTGATTTCCTGTTTGGACTGGCTTGCTTTCACAGGCTTGATTATTTTTGGCGCACCCACGCTGAGAGTCCGTGAAGAAAATATGCTTATGTTTGTGTTTCGCCTGTTTGCAGCGCACAAAGTTTTAGGCGACGGGGGGGGGGGGGCATGCTATGTTGTCAGGGGAACACTGGCCCCCCTGCCCTCCTCCAGAACTGCCCCTGTTAACTACATAGATTTAACCACTAACAAACCTTATATGTTAAATCGGTTCTTCAAGAACCATAATGCTGCATAAAACTGAATAACTCCACATTAAGCTGAATAGAGTTATGGTGTGGCAAAAGAGGTGCAGAAGTAGATTTGTGCAATACCTGGATGTTGCAAGAACGATGGGATATGGAAGGTCCAACACAACTGAATCCCCCATCTGACCTGTAACACAAGGTGACTTATTTAAAAACAGAAACATTAGGATTGTCTTTCTTTACTATCAGAAAATGACTTCATATTCAGAAGCACTTCAGTCTGGAACAGAAAAAGCTAAATTGGAAAACCAATGGCAATATACACTGCCTGGCTAAAAAAAAGTCATCATTTGACTTATTTGTGACCAAGTCATATGTGAAAATGATTCCTCATGTTCCCTGAACCACTCTTTGGTTATTCGAACCCAATGAATCTTGGCATTCTTGTCCTGGAATATGCCCATGCCAACAGGGAAGAAAAAATCCATTGATGATGTATGGAGGTGTAACCTGGCCATTCAGTAGATTCAAGTACTCAGCTGACTTCACTTTATTGCTGCATAACGTAGCTGAGCTGTAATAATGATCCAGTCATTAAGTATTTGCTGATATAAATTCAAATTACGACTATTTTTTTTTTGGCCAGGCAGTGTACATAAACATGAATAACAGACTCGGAATAGATGCACTCTTCGGAGCTACAGACATACATTCTGTATGGCCCAGGGGGACAACTTCTGCCATAGAATGGGTTTGGCACACGGAGAGTGACAAAAGGAATCGGTGATTTAAATAACTCAAACAGAATGGACCACAGGGAGATGGAATGGGCTGGTCTACCTTTATTCTCCTTATATGGCAATTGCCCCTTGGAAAAAGGGACATAAATTCTGCCAAAATATATAGGCCACAGGCACAGGTTGCATTAGAGATGGGGTGGGGCAGCAAGGAGCCATTCCAGACCTTTTCATTTAGTGGAATACCTGATCCAATCGTACCTCTTAAAGGAAACTACTAATTCACTAACTCAATGAGAGAATAAAGACTAAATGTATGGTGTTGACAAATCTTTGTACTTTGTAAGATTATCCCTGTTTTTTAACCATTTCCAGGACCAAAAGAACTATAAAAATCAACCTGAAAAAAGATCAACACGCAAACTTTCCACTTGTACACTTTCTTCCCATGTCTGGGAGCTAGGACTACTCGATTATGGCAAAAATCATAATCGCGATTTCTCTGGTCAAAACTGAGACCACTACATGATTACTCATCGACTGTGGAAATATCATGCATTTACTGAACTATTTTTAAAAACACTTGTCTTTTTAACAGTGGATTTCCTTGAACTTTAAATATAATTCAGCTGCGGGCTGGAATGGGATGCGCTGGATTCATAACACAAGACAAAACAGGAGCATCATTGTGAAACGAAATGCGACACAATAATCGTTTCATCTCAATTATTTTGATTTGATAATCGTTGGAAGCCAAAATTAAAAATCAATTGACTGCGCAGCACTACTGGAAATGCAGTAATTGAAGAGAGGATGTACAAGGTACATTTCAAATAATTGTTTGATTCTGAGGCTGCCTTGCCTGGGTATTCTAAAACAACCGGCAAAGAAAAACACAACCAGATGGATTAATTCTTTTTGAAAGAAAAATAAAAAAATTATGCTGTATATCACAGAAAAGTTGATTCACAAGACAGCTATACTGCATGATTACAGAACTGTATGCAGCTAGAGGTACTGTCTTGCTGTTACCTCAAACAAATTACTTCAACAAACGGCCAGCATTACAAACATGCAAAGACTAACGAGAATGTGACACCCTCAGCAATGTATAAACTTTAGCTAATGCATGCTACGTATGGTGTGAATTGAATCATCATCTTAAATACAATCAGTATTTCTTGTCCCTCCCTATTCCACACTATTTAAGGTTAAAATTATACACTGAGGTGTCCTGACATGTATTTGAAATTGGCAATTTATCCATTTTATTGCCAGCAAAGTTTTTTTCTCTCCAGTGAAGGTAACCAATATAAAAAGTGATGGCATCCATAAAAATTACACAATATTATGTACATCATTTTAAAATCAGATATGTTTTAAAAACTGAAAAAGATTAATCTTAAGAATCTTGTTTTTTCTCCAAATTTAGTCTGAAAAAACCTAATTATGGGGGAATTAAGCATTTGAAACTGCCAACAGTATTACAACATCAGAATATCTGATGCTGCTCTCCTCTTTGTTTAATTCAGATCCAAGCAAATTATATAGGTTAACAGCATTTTCCCCAAATCAAGATAAATATATAGTTCTAATTTGTACATAATATCCCACCTTCACATACTTCCACTAAAAATATGGCTAAGAAGTTCATTAAAGAAAGCATGTAACTTCGGCTGAGTCCTGGGCCTCTAGGGGCCTCAGGCAAGCTATCATGCAGACACTAAATCGTTTGACAGGTAGCTTATTGAATGGGGGAGAGCAACCGTCTACGACAGAATGCTAAGGAATAAATCATGCAGATACAGTCAACACACTAATACGTCTATATAGAAAAAGTCTTTAGACAAAAAGCCCCAACAATCAGTCCCATGGTGATGGTGGACATCAGGGGACAGTGAACTCCGCGAAGTCCAGACAGACGATACATCTGCGCTCTGGAGGTATGAAGTATACATTAGTGCAAGAGAGAACATGCAGACTGGATTCCAGCACACTGATTTACGGCCATGAAGCCATGCGAGTTAAGTATCACAGCCTGTCAGGCTAAACATTACCAACTGTTATTAATACCCACACTGACATCAAATCAAACACTCACTTATGCACAAATTAATACTTTCGTGCAACGGTTTTCCTGCCTCCACCATCAAAAAAAAAAAAACATTCACGGCAAATGAGAACTTCCAGTTATTTCGTATTCTTTGATCATTCTGTTCGTTGCACAGCATCCAGATTACACAGCTTTTGATGTGTCTATCCGGTGTCTCAAAGAAGGTTTTTCTAAGCCCGCTTCATTAAATTTGCTACTTGTTATTTTAATCTGCTGCTTTTAAAACAACACATATATTTCTGTACCTTAGCGCTACATTTTGAATTGGATAACAGACTACAGCACTAAAAACAAAGGACATCCTAATGGCCAAGCCTAAAGTTCTTCATTTGTACTGTATCGATTTTTCTTGTTCTGACAGCACAGTCACACATTCTGAAAGAGGCCCCTTTCCGGCTCCACCTGGAGAGGCCCAACACCGCATCTGCGAGTGAAAAAGCCTGCAAAAATGTTTAACGAGGCCACTCCTAGAAAAGGTTTGCTGCATGTTTTGTCTCAGCAGGATTTTGGCAACATACGGGTGAAAAGCAATAGGCATTTCAACCTGAAAGTGAAACGTTTGGTAAGAAGAACTAGCATTTGGGCAGTTTACACTTCATTAACCGATATATGAACCAACAGCTCATTCAAAGACTGAAATGTGCCATAAAGAAAGCAGGTCAAATCACTACTATGGCTGCTACTGTTACCAGTTATTAACTAGTTATTTAACAGTAATTTTTCATATTGAACATCAAGCATAATGTGTTAATCTAGACTTTTTATAGACTTGTCTAGTTAGTACAGAAAAAGAGTAAAATAAAAAATGGTATTATAAACGTATAAAGTAATAAAAACTGATGATCCTTGAATCATGGACATAAATTATAATCAAAACCAGCCAATACAACCCCCTGGACCCCCTTAAATGGGAGGAGACCTCAACATAACCCCCCCCCCCCCCCGCTGCTCAAAACAAAAAGTCAAGCCCACACTATAGATATTACCAGTAGTTCCTGGTGAAGGCAAATTTTTGTCAGGGCAAATATTATTAAAATCCTAAATTTTCGTGTCACTTTGCACCACACCGAGCGGTGGATTTTACGACACATTCAGAAGCAGCCAACGATAACGGACTCACTTCTGTGTAGCTACACATACGATGTTTTTTTTAGGAACGAGCAATTAAAGAACCTACAATTACAGGTGAAGGTCGGAGACGGGTCTGAGCACGGCGCATGTGCATGCGCGTACCTGAGCGTGATGCATCGCCGTGTCCTCATGGCCACGCCGCCACCGCAGCTGCGGCTGCACTGTCCCCACTGCCCCCAGTCCTCCCAGTGATCAGCACCGGGTGCCTGTAAAATGGCTATATCAGCCAACTCTGCATATGCACCACTACATACTTGCCTTTTTAAAATGGTAGCGTTTTCACTGCATTTTCAGTGAATAAATAATCATAATACCTCCCCACATTTTACATACTTTACATTTTACATACTTTATTAGTCCTACAACCCTTTGCGCTGGAAAATAAGACAGGGTTATGTGTATTTTCATGGCTAATTTTGTATGACTTCCAGTTTACTGTGCCAGCAATATCTGACATCAACATAAAATTCTAAATTTCTCTCTTTATACTGTTGAGTATAGGAAGCCCCCAGGGTACGAACGGGATCCTTTCCTTAAGTCCGTCTTTAAGTCCAATTTGTAGATAAGTAGGAAAATTAATAATACAGCACCTAATAATGATGATAATTATACATTAATGATGAAAGTAACTACATATGGTACTGTAATGTACTATACTGTACTTACTGTACTATACTATACTGTACTGTACTGTACTGTACTATACTGTACTATACTATACTGTACTGTACTGTACTATACTGTACTATACTATACTGTATTGTACTGTACTGTACTATACTGTACTGTACTATACTGTATTGTACTGTACATACCTTGAGCTCACAAACTGTGGAAGCTGGGCAATGTTTTCATAATCGTCATAAAGTAGTGCAAGCTTTCATTTTTACGAACCATTACATTTAACCAGAATTTTTTTTATAATAGGCTTTATGACAGTCTGTTCGTAAGCACGAGTTGTCATTTTTAACCCGGCGACTGCCTGTGTAATGCAACAAACATTTCTCAATGACAATGTAGTTCTTATAGTACCCAGTGCACATATACATCAAATACACCTGGAACAACATCAAAAATCAATCACCAGCTTTTACTAGCCCTTAGACATACCACCAAATGCTTATTAATCTACAGCACCAGATAAAAAAAACACACAAGTGCCTTATATTCTGCTGTACTGACGAGAACATTCTACTCACCAGAAGTGATGGAAGAGGCAGCAGTTGAAGAACAGCCACGGCCAGCAGAATCCTCATGTTTGCTAAAAGGCTGAAGTTAGACGTGAAGGTGTGAGTGTGTACATGTGGCAGATAAAATACAGCACAAAACTCTGTAGAACAAACCTCGTTTGTCATATCTTATAGACAATTCTATTCTACCAGGCTCACCTGCATTCAGTGACACATCATACCAGGCCATAATGAGAGACAGGGATCATGATCATAGCAGAACAGAAAATATGAGTCCCTACAAATATGGCTTTCCATGAGGTGGTATCTGGCAACAAAAATTTGCTATGGATGAATTTCACAGCCTTTATGTTAATTGATTTTTTATATATATATATATATTGATGCAACTGGAGGCCTGCAACTGGGACGAACATCTGGAAAAGTTCAATCCTTCAACCTGAGGTGTAAAAAAAAACTGCCAGCTCCCTCAAACAGAAACTGGGGATGCTTATGAGTATGAAAGTCAGCATGAGTCCTGACAGGACTGTTCGGCAAGCTTCCATACTGTAGAAATCTAACTGTTCAGGCTTGTGCACTCCTTAAGCTCATTATTGGTGTGAGTTTTTCTGGGCAGGATCTCTGCGAGTCCATTGTCTGGGCCCATTTACCAGGAATAAAATTAAACGGATCTCAGTGATGTGCTTCAATGCGCAGACACATACCAGAAGCTGAATGGGCTTGTTTCCATATACTTTAGACCTTCCTCTCCACATCAGACCTGAGAATATCCTGTAAAAATCACTCTCTTTCTTTCCAAGGCCAGTCTGCACTTGCTACATGATAATGCTGTATAAACCAGCAAACCATTTCTTTCTATTTGAAACATAGGAAAACTTCATTGAAACCCTTTATTATAGTTTCAGTTAGATAATTATACCTGGTGATTCATTTATCATTTCCAATTGTTTCTAAAGCTTATACATAGAAATTGACTAATGCAATTTTATTATTATTATTATTATTACATTTCAGCAAACCCTTGGATCTGCTTTGTTATGAAGTGTTGAACACTACACCTATGTCTAATAACAATAATAGGGTCCAGCCCCGACACCTAATGACCCTAATATTCAGAAGATTAATTTAACAACAAGAGCAACAGCAACAATTATTATAATAATAATAATAATAATTATTATTATTATTATTATTATTATTATTATATCACCATCATCAACATTATCATTTGGAGAGCAAAAACAGCAGTTGTATACGCACTTGCATTGTCAGCCTTATTTTGCATTTATTTGTATAGCCTATGTGTATCACGTGTTCGTGTGTGTAACCGGCTGATGATTTGACCGCTAAAGTAAAGTTTACTACCGAAGGTACACAAGCTCCGTCGCACTGTTAAATCCTTTATCCAAAGTTGAGCCTGGAAACTGGTATCTACCTGGAATACGTTTAAACGTCTCCTTGCAATTACCTATGTAATCTACCTGTAGCAAATTACTAAACATTTAATAACTTAAGGTAAACTAATTCCATTTACCTTACAATGCAATATTAAGAAACACATAAACATAATAACAATATATGTTTTCGAAAGGAAGATTGAAAGTAAAACGATAGTTTAATATTTTGTTCGGTGTACAATGACAGTATTGAAACTTGTTGCATCTTGTTACAGAACGATTTCTAGTGATATTGCGCGGCTCCATCGCAGCCGCGTTTAGTCGGCGTCTTACCCGAGCGAAGCGCACGTTCCCCGCAGCCTAGTCGGAGCGCCTGGCGTCGGCAGCGCCGCTACTCAAACAAGCCATGTATTAACTTTGGTGGTTCTCTGATATTTTGCAGACAGTTGAGGTGTCAAGTTACTTTTAACTCCTTCTACTGGAAATATTCGCAATTTCTCGTAATGTGTCCAGGTTGGTTAATATCGCGCGCTGGAAACTTTCCCCCTTATTTCCCCAGCAGGAAGCCAGCAGACAGAGACGCTTCAGTTGTTCTCCAAGTTAAACGCTGCGTCACTCGGCTAAGCCCTACAGCCCCCGGCAATGACATATTCTGTATTGCGGCGATGACAGAAAAGGACCGTATACTGCGCCATTATACGACTTTCTATACTCTGAGTTTAAGTAATTACCCTCACGTGCTATAGTAACATAAACGATATAATCAGTTTAAGTCGAAGCTTATGGTTTTTATACGGACCAGATTCACAAACAAAATCCAGAGAAATTGTTTGCTCACATATAACATTTAAATTAAAGTTTACAATGACATAATGGAAACATATCCTTGGAGCAATTTGCTAACAAAGATTTGTAATGATTGGTGACTGGACGGGATTATTTCAAAATAGTGCAAGAAACGAGGTCAAATATATAACAGGATGTAACTCAGGAAAAAGGAAAACAAATGGTAAAGCAGTAAAAAGAAGATAAGATGAAGGTCAAAAATCAATTACAGGCTTTTGACATTTAAGCACAAACAGAGATTATGAAACTAGTTTCACGTAAACAACGGATGTCCAAGCAGCGTATAACAGTCAATAGTTAAATAACTGGGCCTTTTAATTGTTTGATATTAAGTTATAAGTCTGCCAGTTACTTATTCTTAAAAAAATTAATGCAATCATTTATTCATTCATCTTCTATACCGCTTACCCTTTCATATAGATGCAGAGAATGCAATTTTTGAGCATTAATTTGGTAAAAAGCAGGCAAGGAAAATAATTTCTGAAAGAACAGTGTAAAATTAAGTCTGGGTTAAGAATGTATGTATTAAAAGACCTTCTGATCCCAGTAAAGCCTGATAAAAAAAAAAACACTTTATCTGAAAACCCAGGATCTGCATGAGAAGCAACGCTGATATGAGCAGGAAAGCAGCTGTAGCTTATTTCCTCTCGGTGCAGCGTGTTGATAATGGTCTTACATTTCAGTGCATGTTTATTAAAACATTCCTGATTCATTTAAGGCTGACTGCAGCGATTCCTGGGTCCCCTGTGAGCTCTAACATCAAGCATGATATGACTAAAGAGCTGACTATTCCAGTTAGCCCAACAAGTCATTATATTTCTCGGTAGGCGATCTGTGTATATATTTATTTAAAATTATGCTGTTATTAAGAAAAGATTAGTGGAATTACTAAGCCGTTCCACTAATTCTGCCCAGCAAGAGATCATATGGGTGGCTAATCAACAGCATAACCATATAAATATAGGATTCCAGATTTCAGCTGATCCTTATTTTTTTATTTTTCTTATTATGATAATCATTTCCCCACTTTTTCTGGCAAATGCTGAACAGGTTAGACGCCATTCTCCGTGGGCAGAGACTCTAGCTTGTTCTGGGGGATTCCTACATTGTTCCCAGCCATCTGGGAGATATAATCCCTTCAGCATGTCCTGCATCTGCCCTGGTACCCCATCCAGTGGCACACATCCGGAGAAGCTGGTCCAGATGGCATCTACGTAAGATGCCCAAACCACGTCCGCCGGCTCGGTCTTGACTTCCCTCCAGATCTCCACAGCGCCCAAACCCCGCTCGGCCATGTACCCGGCCCTTACTTGCTGAATCAATTCTTCTGTCAATCTCGAGTTCCATCTTACTACCACTGATTTTGATGTGCATCTTCTCATCCACCTGCTTCGCTCTCAGCATTGTAGCAGTCAAGTCAATGCTGGAGGTCCTGATTGGATGATGCAGCAACATGGCATCATCTGCAAATAGCAGGCATGTCAGTTCTAGCCCCCCATACCTAACGCTCTTCCAGCTACAGCTGTGCCTTCATATCCTCTTCATAAAAATCAAGAACAGAGTGGAAACAAGGTGTACCCTCGACGGAGGCCAGCACCAGTATAAACGTATTTCTGCAGCCTCCCACATCATGTCCACAAAGCACACTTAGGCTGTGTCAGTTTACTCCCACGAACCCTCACACAGCCACTATTCCATGGCTAGACAGGAATCCACATTATTTTCAGCACCTCACCCAAGTTCCCCAAAAAGGCTACTTTGATCTGCTGTTCGGTGCATATGCTAATGTTACACGTTCCCATTACAAGGTATAATCCATCTGGGTCCTTCCCACTCACACCTGCCGTCCATTTCTGTCTATCAATGCTGAAGGAGGTCTAGCCATCAGGCATTCACATGGAGAACACCACCCCCTGACCTGGCCTCAGGTATCGTCCCAGTAAATCTTATTACGGGCAGGGTACACTTGTTCGTTTTGGCCCCGTTCATTGAGGACCTTTTGTGGATTATAGTTTGACTAGCCTCTTCCTACAGACCTCTTCACCAATGGAGACCCGGCAAGGATCTCAAGCTCCAGCTTTCATTCAGTAGCTGTATGGATTGTTAAAGCTTGCAAACTATGTTGGACTTCCTTTGCAGGCCCTAGGAGGACGGGCTACTCTGAAGGATGGGCCTTTGAGTCTGGTTCCTCTTCCTACTGAGGAGTTTTTCTTTGCCAGTGTCACATCAGGCTTAACTTCTGGGGACGTTGGGCAGGGACAATCTAAAGCGCTTTGAGACAATGTAATATAAATGCGCAATATAAATAAACTTGAATTGAATTGAAACTTCCCCACCAGGCTAAGGTTACACCTCTCTCATGTGGAAGTCTATCAAGCTATTTAAAATCATTCATAAGTTACAATGAATTATCCATCCATTTAACCACCTAAACAGGGAACCAGAGCCCATTCCAGACAGCATATGACACAAGGCAGGGGAGGGGGCACCTTGTGTGGATGGCAGGCCCACATTTCAAAGGGTACTGATGCTAAATCGTCACATTTTTTGCAATGTAATTGTGTAACTATAGGCTGATAGCCAGCTTTACTGTGTTAGAGTGAATCTGTATTGTTATCTAATGAGGGCTGGACCTGAAGGCCTGTCTCCTGTGACTCATGTGGCCTGTCCCTTCTTCCTGGCCTGGTTGCAGACAGGGACACCCCCTTAGTTCCTTACTTCCTACATACACAGCTTCTATTTTTATCCCTCAGAAAGTGCAAAATAAAACAATCATCCTAATATAGGCAAAATACCCACTTTTAAAATATTGTCTGTTTTCTCAAAATTTCTAACGGCAGTGTGATGTGAACTGACCCCTGACTGGGCCACACAGTACATATGCTATGATGAATACAATTAGATGTTTGTTTAAGCCTTTAGCTAATTAGCACACCAGTCCCACAGATACTGCCAGAGCTGCAGGTGCTACATGCTAACCTGCACAGCCATATTCCCTGGGTCACCAGGCAGGGCTGGAGGAGGGGTATTACAGCAGAGGGGCTGACTGAGGGGGGGGATTATGCAAATACCTCCTTGCCCCCCGCCTCCTTTGCTACTGTCACCAGGCACGCAAAGCACATTGCAACAGTGCCCCCCAGAGGGCACACTGGGTGATGCGCAGGCAGCACAGTGGCACCGGGGCTAGGATCAGCGAGACCAGGGCCACCACACTGACTGGCACCTCCACGCCCCACAGCGCATTCAGGTCACACAGCACTGTGTTAGGTCTCTTCAGGAGGGAGCCACAGCCACCCGAAACTCCGTCGTCTGAAAAGCTGCCGCCCACCTGGGAGAGGATTAGGGGGATGAAAAACACTGAAAGGAAATGCCAGAGAGAGAGAGAGAGCAACAGAGAGAGACAGAGAGAGACAGAGAGAGAGAGAGACAGAGAGAGACTGAGAGAGAGAGGGAGAGCAACAGAGAGAGAGAGAGACCGAGAGAGAGACTTGCACCAGCCTTTATTAGTCAGTCAACAACAGAAAAAAACCTTACTGCGACTTCAAATCGCAAAATGGGTCGTTATCACGAAATCAAACAAACAGAGAACAAAATTAAACAATCAACCAAAAGAAAAAAACTAAGAGAAAATAGCCAGGGCAACCAACCGAGACCGAGAGAGAGAGGGAGAGCAACAGAGAGAGACAGAAAGAGAGAGAGAGGGGGAGAGAGCAAGAGAGAGAGACAGAGAGAGAGAGACAGAGAGAGAGACCGAGAGAGAGAGGGAGAGCAACAGAGAGAGACAGAAAGAGAGAGAGAGAGGGAGAGAGCAACAGAGAGAGACAGAAAGAGAGAGAGACAGAGAGAGAGACCGAGAGAGAGAGGGAGAGCAACAGAGAGAGACAGAAAGAGAGAGACAGAGAGAGAGAGAGAGAGAACAGAATCATTTTTTGGGTTGGTTTTCACCAGTAAAAAGTGTTCTGCTGTGCAGGAAACATCACAGGTCACAAACTGCCCATCCCAACATCTCAGCAATAGACTGAGTGCGTGAGACTGTCAGCCCTTTGTTAAGAAGCAAAAAGCACTACGGTACGAAGCCAGCGAGTTCATCCGCTACGTGATCGTGACAGCGCGACAAAATTACACTGTCCATATCATGCTCATTTTCTCTTTCAGTCTGCATCTATGTTTTGTATTGCAATTATCAGCTGAATTGAATTTTAATGTTGTCTCCAGCTACAGAAATTTCTGCCAAAAAAACAAGCATATCCCTGGTGTAACTGCAAGAAACACACACCCAGAACGGGCAACTTCACACTGATACGCTTTGGACTGAGAAAGAACCGTCCCAAAAGAAGAACATACAAAATTCATTCATAAACAGTGGAGGTGGGATGCACAATCCAGCTCAATCGATGCCATGCAATAACGCTACTCAGTGCGGCATTAACCCACATGACGAAAAAACACGGAAAGGTGCAAACCTACGAAAACTGTACCATGTGCATTTTGTTGGTTAAATTCACATGTAACATTGGTGTGCTTTGACTTTTAGTAGGTGGCCTAGGTTAAAGCTAGCAAGCTTTAATTAAAAAAAAAAAAACAGACGTCGGTAATGCAACCTCTGCTACTTATCATATACTTCATGTAGATAGAAGCATCCAAGGCAGCTGCATTCACACCCTCAGCCCCGAAGTTACGAGGCAACAGCGCCACCCTGTGCAAGAATGGAATTCTTTAACACTGTATATTTTATGTTAGTTCCACAGACAGGGGCATCGGAGGAGCGTGGATACCCTGGCAGATTCAGGGGGGGCAGCACTGTACAGGGGCCCT